TATATAATAGATATTTTATATTAATATTAATATAAAAATGATTTAATTTTTATTAAAATATAATGTATGCATTTATTAGAATAAGTAATTAATTTTTTTTTCCAATACGGAAATTTTTTTTATTTTGACAAACATTTATATAATATTCTGTTCAATATTTGCATATTTTATGATAAAATTTCGTTTTATTAAAGGCAAGTTAAAACTGGCGAATCTTCACGTCACCGAGAATTTCACGATTGACGTGAACACATCTATGGTGAAAATGTTCGACGAGCGGTTTCTTCATATTTACGAAAACGTCACTATATTGGGTGATCTACATCTTCGGAACATCAAAATTGAAAATATGGCTGCACTCTTTGTAGAAGATATTCCAGTAAATGTCAACGACATGTTTAACAACTCCTGGACGAAATCCAGCGATCAGACGATCACGGAAAAGATCACTTTGGAAAACGGCCTCACCATCGATAGACTCAACACAAAGTACCTCAACGGTTTCGCGAAAAATGACTTCCTGTACACCACAATGGAGGAGATACCGAGCGAGTTCACCAATCTACGCTTCGAAAATCTTCATGTTGACGAGTTCTTCCCTGAAGATGGTTCAAATGAAGACGGTTCGAACGACCATCTCTTTCAGGTTGAATCAAACCAATTAATTATTCGAAGACAATTGCATCTACAAAGTCTTCAAGCGGAAGATATCATTACCTTAGCTTTCAACGGCATCGACGTTGGCGACATCATGAACGGGGTTCAAGCAAATATCTCGGGAACCGCGAAACTTCCAGCCATTCAAGCGCGTCGCGTATTCGTCGACAATCTCAATGTCCGTCTTCTCAATAATCGCGAAATCTTCTTCGAAGATGGGCTTCGCATCAACGATGATCATCAGATAGCAACCTTGAAGATACCACAATTCAATGTACAAGAATTAGAAATGGAAAGGTTGAATGGAACCGAGTTGAATTTTCTGGCGCAGTTAAAAGTTCTGACGGATTCTGACTTGAGTAGAATCGTCATTGATGGAGACTTGATGGTAGATAATTTGACAGTCGGCCAAGTGGATGGACAATCAATCGAGAGTTTCTTAGAGGAATTAGGGCAAAGCGATATTGTGATAACATCGGAGAAGAGCATCGAAAACTTGATCGTAGAGAATATAACATTGGAGTTTCTTCATGGTCGAAATTTTGATGAACATTTTGCCAGTGTTCTCACGAAATCGAGGGAACAAACAATACCGGGACATTTTTCGGCCCATGTTATCACTTCAGATAACGTCACAATAGATTTCATTAACAAACAGAACGCTTCGCAGCTCATGTGGGTGGACGAGCCTTTAACGATCACGGGCAACGTAACATTCTCCGATTTATTTGTCGAAGGCGACGTAATTAGTTCGAACTTGAATGGGCGTGACGTGCGCGAGGTAAAAATAAAGATCTCATTCCATAATCTTAAACATATAAAATGTTGATTAACAATTTTATTAATTTTTATATTTTTTTCTATGAAAAAATAATCTAATATTTTAATTTTTTTTTTCTTGTGTTATAGTTATACGATAGTTTATTGTACATTCCGGCGAAAAATATCGATTTCCTGAAGGTGGACGAAATTTCCTGGGAGACGCCCTTGACTAGTCCTACCTCTATATCTTACTTATTGAAGAACGCTGTGACAAAAACTGAAGACCAAAATATCACGGGCAAAGTGATCTTTATGAAGGACGTTCACGCGTGGGCGGTCACCGGCGCGTTCAACGAGATCAATGAGATTGGACGCATAATATCGGACGCCGTGATCGATAACGGGGAAGAGATCGAAATCAGCGGAAAGAAATTCTTCGAGGATGATTTCATCGCAGATAAGTTGTTGGTGAACGGTGACCTGGGCATTGCCAAGGTCAACGACGTGGATATTCTCAAGTTTAACGATTCGGTTGCTAGGAAGGATCGCGAGGAAACGATTGTCGGTCCATTGACATTCCTCAAGGACGTTACAATCGAAAAACTACGCGCAAACGATGCCGATCTCAATGCGTCCATCAGCGTTGCTGTACGTTCCGACGACGTTATGCCGGATAACATCTTCTTCGAGGAGCTTGTAGTGATGGACGACGTAGATTTAAAAAATTTGAACGGGATAGACTTCGACAAGTTCGCGAACGATCGTGTCACTCTCACCGGAAATCACAGTATCTCGTGCGATTTGAAATTTAATGGTGCCATCACAATAACAGGTGAAATAGTTATACAAGTTAATTTAATGATAATATAAGAGTCAGAATTCTTTCAATGAGAGATAAAGAGGGAGAAATTAGTGATCAATAATTATTTAAATTATCTATTCATTTGGAGCAAGATTAATTCGATAGCATTTTGTCATTTTAGTTTGTAATTTAGAGTGCACGAGTTTTTGATAAAATCTAATAAATTTTTTTATATATAATTATACAACTCCATTATATTTTATGTTATAATAATTTTGTTCGGGATTAAAAATATGTGTTTATAATTTAAAGAATACGGATTTTAAGAAATGATGCAAAAAATATCTTTATAAATATGTTCCTAGGATTTTACAATATAATTATTTTGATCATTATTTTAAAAAGAAGAATTTAAAAAGATTTTAATGTAAAATTTGATAAAAAACATTGACATTATTTCTCTACGTGATGTTTCAGGTAATGCACAGATAAGGAAAATCAATGGAATTCAACCATCCGAGTTTGTCCTTAATAATATTAATGAGGTGCAGATGATATATGGCACAAAAACTTTTGAAGAGGATTTGATAATCGAAGGAAATATTACTGCGCCGCAAGTCAATGATGTCGAAATAATAAAGGAATATAGCGACGGTGTACAAAACGATGAAGATGTCGATATCTTTGGAAATCTTGTTAGTATAACATCAAAAGAATCTTTTCATTTCTATCAAGTTGCAATAAATCTACAAGATTCAAAGATTTAAAAATCGGAGACAGAAATCGAAATTAATACAAGCTATAGTAGTTTAACACAAATGTTCAATATTATAAAATTAATTTTGATATATGCTTGAATTATGTCTTCCATTAGATTTTTAAGGCGAACGTTCGGATTCAAAATATGAATATTTCCGGTTTGGTGAACGGCGTAAACTTGCGTTCCATTATCAGCGATTCCCAAGAAATAGTGAATAAGACTCTTCAAAGCCTGGAGGAAAACTGGAGGATAATCGAACAGAATATCGAGTATAGCTCACTAGTGTCCGAGACCTTGCGCAATATCTTCTTTTATCTGGACATAGAAAAGAATCTAAAGATACCTGGGACCAATGTCAGCAAGATCGATGTAGTGTACTTCAACGAGAACACGATCAGATTAAACATGTACAGCGAACAGCCCGGAAGATTTTGCGGGCTACCAGACAATTGTTCGTGTGCGTATCAGTCTGTGGTAGAAATCGTTGATAGAAATGTGCGAAAATGGCAAGTGAATCCCGGAGAAATCGTAAAGAATTTTCACGATCCGGGCGGTATTTTCGGTGTCAATGTAATAACAAACGCCGTTTCGAGCAATGAGAAATGCATCTCGACGAGAACCAAGGAAGAATATACTACAATTTCCTTGATGAAGTCTGAAGATTCTAAAGAGATTCACGAAGAGGTTTTCGATAAGATAGAGGGATACTTGAAAGATGCCAGCATTTTTAAACACGATGGTACGTACATCATGTTAAAAGAATCCATCGTTAAAATTAAAATAAAAAGAAAGTTAATGTGAGATTTCAAACATTAATATAAAATTTAATTTATAGATGATGTGTATATAGTTTTGGCGATTTACTATGATAAAACACACACGACACATCGTACAAACTCCTTGCTTTATAGACTACATATAACGAAGAGAAATGCAACATTAGTTCAAGAAATTCCCACGGATGGTGCTTGGACCACCCAGATTTTTGAAATTAATCAGGAAGTGTTTCTTCTCATCGGCTGCTTTGGCGAATCTTCGGAATCTTTATTATACAGATTCAATCCATTAACACAAAAGGTGTAATAATTGTCGAGAAAATCAAGAGATAGAAAATAATCTGCATACAGCTTCTTGTAAAATAAAACTAATCCCTTTACTTTTCTTGTAGTTTGAACAACTGAGAACATTCGCAAGCAGAAGTCGTTACGTAAAGAGTCTATCGCAAGGAAAGGATTATTTTATTCTACTGGATAATCCTGATATGAACGCCGTGAACATTTACAAATATGATCCCACATCTCGCAACTTTTACAACTATCAAAATATTTTTCATGTTCGTCAGATTAATGGAATCGAATGCTTCTACACCGATGGTACGAATTTCAAAGTGATAATTTAATTAATTACAAGACACATTGTGTGTATATTTTTACTATAATCCTGTAACGATTATAATTAAAATTCACGATTTACAATTGACGGTTATTATATATTACAATTAAAATTTTATTTTTTATTTATTTATCATCTACAATTTAAAAATTTTATTCTTTTACCGTTATTTTATCTTACAGATTTTGGCAACAGCGATGTGTTTGTGATTGTCACGACGCAGGGTGGACGATTTTATGTTTACGAATATATGTTTGCCGGGGTAAGCCTATTATATTTTTTTCTATATGTTGTCTCTTATTTTCTTATATATGAATATAAATAAAATAAGAAATTTTCTGACGGTTTCTTATGGAATAAAATATTTTAAAGCAATTTGAAGATACATGCTATACTATCGTGTGATTTCACGATTATTTTCAGAAATTCCAGATGAAACTGCAATACACTGTGGATGGCTTACGAACGATGATGCCGTTTTACCATATGGATCGTCATTATATCTTGATTGGCACAGATGACAACAATATAATCTTTCGAATTGTAAAACAGGGTCCACATTAATCCTACAAAGAGATCGTTATAAAAATGAATTTTGTATATATATATATGCACACGCATGAATATTTATATATTTCGATATATATTAAAACTCGATACAAATATTTATTACGCCGTTGAACCGATAGTCAAGACTGTATAAAAAATACGGCGATATTAATTATCATTATTTATTTTTTTTCAATATTGTTATTTATTTCTACTATTGGTTATTATTATTTTCTCGTTAATGCATTTATTGCATTGCATATTGTTATATATTATTTATTATATTACGCGAGTGATATTAACAAATGAGTTATTTGCGAATAAAATTTACACAAAGCAAAATATAATTACTATAAAATATTTTATATATCGTATATAATTTCGCATTGATATCCAACATTCTGCGTATCAAATTATATATTTAATGTTCTTTCTATTGCTTATTAATTGTTTAAAATAAAATTTAAAGAGGCGCGGCAATTCTCGTGAACACTTGCGCACTGACAATGAGAGAGCTTACGAATTTCAAATCATTGTAGACGCATTTTGTAATATATGCAAAACTATGAAAAACGTATGCGAATTACGAAGCAATATGTATATCAGAATATTAATAGAAGATTCGTTGATATTTTTTTTACCTATTTCAGCTGTGTTTCGACAAAATAAAACGACGCGATCGCGATAGCACAAAATTCAACGGCAAAAGAACGCATTTTGTTTACAAACAACATAATTATATAACCGTACATGTTTCTATTAATATATTCCACGAATAAGATAAACGTTAAAGCTCTTCTAAAAAAATTCACGAATCGCAGATACATTTTCATCTATATTTGGCGAATCTCCCCAATGAGCAGACAATATTTTTGAAAATGTTCTTCAAAATTTTTGAGATACATTTCTAAAAATATTTTTGAAAATGTTCTCCAAAATTTTTGAGAAACATTTCTAAAAATATTTTTGAAAATGTTCTTCAAAATTTTTGAGATACATTTCTAAAAATATTTTTGAAAATGTTCTCCAAAATTTTTGAGAAACATTTCTAAAAATATTTTTGAAAATGTTCTTCAAAATTTTTGAGAAACATTTCTAAAAATATTTTTGAAAATGTTCTTCAAAATTAAAAAAAAACATTTTTAAAAATATTTTTAAAAACACATTAAAATAATGTGGGGGAGGGGGGATAAGTCCCCTTTTAATCATAAAAAAAATGTTTATATTAACATTTGCTATTTCAAACGAATATTTCATGTAAGATAAATAAACATTAAATAAATATTATTTTACATAATGTTTATTAATTTTACATGAAATATTCGTTAATAATATTTTAAATAAATATTATTAACGAATATTTCATGTAAAATTAATAAACATTAAATAAATATTATTTTTACAATCAATTGTACAACGTACAATTAATGAACAATAAATATTAAAAATACATTTAAAAAATATTGTCTGCTCATTGGGCAATACGTTCGCACAGCGGATGTCATCGAAGTTCATCCCGCCAGTGGTGCGCGAGCTGCACCGAAATTGCAACTTTGGAACAGACTTCAAAGTGCTACGTGCGCGCGAGCGAAAGAATTTTTCTCCGTCTGTTCTGCTCCGTTCTCGTTCGGCTTCGTTCCTGTCAGTTCCTGTCTGTGTTACCCGATAGAGAAAAAGGTGCGATTCCCTTCGCGTTTTCTCGCCTAATCATGAGCGTTGCATCGTCACTCTCTCGCGTTCGTTCCCATCAGCTGTCACAAGCGCAACGTCCACGAGGATTAGCACAGATTAGCAGAGTCCGATGTTGTTAGACAGAACACGTAACGCGTTTACAAAATGTGACATCATCGCGATTCGGAAGGATAATTGAGTTTCTGGAAAACTTATCCGCGCGTAAAAGGGCCTACTTTTATCTCTTTAAAAACGTTCGGCAAAACTTTTTGGTTATGTCAACCGATAATAAATAATTGCGCCTACATCACTTTCTGGATTTTTCTAACTGCCGTTGCGTCCGGCAAAATGGCATAACAAATAGTGAGATACTTCGACGTGTCTCGATTAGCATTTTTGCATTTTTATTTTTTTTTTAAGGAGAATACAATAACAAGGCTCTAAGTAGGTCAATGTAAATAATAAAAAAGGGCTAATAAGAGCCAGACGCTAGATGAAGGCGCAAATAAAGAAATTAATAAAATTCTAATTAATTATAGGCGTTATTTATTAAATAATTTTTTTTTAGTTTATTTTATTTTCGCTAATTAGATGATTATGATGCTGCACTTGATATATATATGATATGTTATAGGATATTGCATTTTGATAACAGACTGTTTTTTCTTTGCAGGAGTAAATATTTCCTTATTGAGCACTGATGGCTGTCAAAGGATTAATTTCGGCGATTGTTCAGTTTTTGACTGATCAATTGCAAGATGGGGACATAACTGCTGACTCCCGTGAGAGTTTAGAAGTGGCAATCCAATGTCTGGAAAGTGCTTACAATGTGCAAGCTTCTGATGCTCCGGCAAATTTTAATCTATATCAGGTTTATAAGAATACTGTGGAGAACGCAGCGTCTAATTTAGGCCCAGAAGCTACAGCAGAATCAAAGGCTGAGGCAGAAAGATTGAAAAATGAAGGCAATGCGCTTATGAAACAAGAAAAGCATCACGAAGCGCTTGCCAATTATACAAAGTATTTTTACATAATTTCTCTATTTTTATAGTCTATAAAATATTCTTCTATTTTGATTAAATCTATTTTTGTTTACAGAGCAATACAATTGGATGGTCGCAATGCGGTATATTATTGCAATAGAGCCGCTGTTCACAGCAAACTTGGTAATCATGCCCTAGCCATTAAAGATTGTCACACAGCACTCTCTATCGATCCTTCGTATAGCAAGGCATATGGTCGGTTAGGCTTAGCATATTCTAGTTTGGAGAGGCATAAAGAAGCTAAGGAAAGTTACGAGAAGGCTTTAGCAATGGAACCAGATAATGAGAGTTATCGAAATAATTTACAATTAGCGGAAGAGAAATTGGCTCAGTTAGGTGTCAATCAGAATCTGCCTAATATGCCTGGTGGTATGGATCTGAGTGCTCTTCTAAGCAATCCTGCTCTAATGAACATGGCACGTCAGATGTTATCTGACCCAACTATGCAGAATATGATGTGCAATCTCATGTCTGGCAATGTGGAGGAAGGTGGTCGTATGGAAGTACTCATAGAAGCGTAAGTGTATTATTTATTATCATTTTATATTTGATAAAATCAAAACGTATTGATATTAAATTTTCTCGATAGCTCGATACATTTATGTACTTTGGCTTATGCATACGCACATAAATATTTCAGAGGTCAACAATTGGCACAACAAATGCAGAATGCAAACCCCGAGTTAATCGAATCGCTAAGACGACAAATGGGCGGCAATCCAAACGATCCAGAACCACCGCAGCAAAATTAAAATATATGACTGATTATATCATAGGATTTGAACACTTTATGTGAATATCATTTTCTTTCTCACTCGTTACATGACAGTGCGTCGTATCGTTTTTTAAAATATCGCGAGGTGAGACTTATGGCTTCAATGACAATTATTCTGTCATCATGTTTAAAGCAAAGGTAACACGAAATACCATAGAAATCTTTTCATAGATTAGTTATCAATTACGGGAATGCAAAATCATGTTTCTGGGCTTTTCCTCTTCTATCTCTCTTTTTCCTCTCTTCTCTTTTCTTTCTCCTTCTTCCCCCCATATACAATTTTTTATGCAAGAATTAATACAATGCGACAAAATGTTTTTTAAATGCTGCAATAATTTAAATAATTGTAAACAACATCCAATTTACTCAGAACTATATTACTCAGAATATTGTTTCTCAGTTTGTGTTTGAATGCTGAATGCACATACAAATTTATATAATGCAATTTTTTATCACATGTCCCAATTAAGTGATTGAAAATGATTAATGCAAATATATGTATATTTTATTGATATATTTTTGAATTTTCTCTACATGCATATTATATGTAATATAGAGAATTGTCAATATTTTATAAACATGCGATCATTATATATATATATATAAATTGTTCGTTAAAATCTTTAACCTTCGACCTCAGACAAGAGCTTATGTTCACAGTCTTGAGTATTTCGAACATGCTGGTTTCTCAATACATTGCATATTGAAAATAAAGCAATGTGTCAATTATAAAAAATAAATTGTAATAAAAATTGCATGATAAAGAGCATTTGAAGATATTTCTTTTTAATTATTTATTTATTTAATTTCTTCTATTCAATAATGGAACATTATTATTCACACACACGCATACACACTCTAAAAGATTATTAATAAACAATTAAAAAGAAATTAAGAAAAAAATCTAAGCGCGAACAAACAAAAAGTTCTTCTATTCGATAATTGGAACATTATTATTCACATACACATATACATATTCTGAAAAATTATTAATAAGCAATTAAAAAGAAATCAAGAAAAAATCGAAGTGTTAACAAATAAAAAATATCTGATAAATATTTATTTCTGACGTATCATGCATTGTTAAAAAATCCCCGATTGTAAGATATTTTCCAAAAGCGAATATTATATACTTATTTTTTTCTTTTTTTGTTTTTGTTTTTTTTTCTTTTCTTTTTATTGTAAAGATTTGTTTTCGACATAAATACTTTTGATTTTGCAACGCTAGAAAGTTTTTCCCATCCTTAATTTATCGGCATCTTCGTAACGTTAGACGAACATGTTCGCTATGCGATGATAATCAATAGATATAGTTTCTCTCTGCGAACAGGATACGTAAATTCCATTAACGACCGCATTCCCTGTATTCCACGGGATCGGGCATAAGCGCTCGCCAATTCCGCGTGCGTCATACGGTGACATCATTCTTATTTGGCACGTACTTACGTATCGCATACACGTACACACATGTTCTCACATATTCACGCTCGAATACGCACACGCAAACAATATATTGCAAGCTATATTCGTGATTTGTATACTCGAGTATATTATCTATGATTAAAAGCGGATCGCGTTCGCGCATACTTCTTTAAGATCAGCTGACTGTCATAAAGTTCATTCAAGAATATGAAACGCAGTTCATAAAAATGAGCGATTTAAAGAGAACTTGACAGTTTATTTGTTATATCAATAATTTCAAATTATTTGCATATTGATTTATTAGTTCGAATTCTTAATCGCACAAATAATGCAGGAATTTATTTTTTAAATTTTTATATTCTATATCTTTCTATTGGAATAATCTAGAATTTTAAAAAATTATGTATGTATAGTATAATATTTAAATGATAATTAAAATATATTATATTATCTCGAATACGAATCTAACTTATTCTGATAAAAGAATTTTGTTATGCAGAATTGTCATGTTTAACGCTGAATGCACAACGAGAATGCAGCTATAAATGTCAGGATGTCTCGTGTCCTTGAACATTTTTATTTAAAAAAAATGGTGAAGAAATATAAATCCGGACTATTTATTTTGTTAATAATTGGGGAAATTTTTGATAATGGTATTTATTTTATCCAGCCGATAAGTTGTTTAATGACATGTCGATACGCGCCATAAACATGCATCGCGGCATGATGTGAAATTAATTAAAAAAAATGAAAATATTCCACATAGTGTGTCATCCAAAAATAGATATAATGTGTGTGTGTGTATATTTTTAAGTATTTGCAATTTTCTGCAGCGTGTGTGCGTATGTGTGTGTGATATTCATCATTCATTATATTGTATAATATTGAATTTTTCGTAAAAACAAAAAAGTTTTAGTATCTATAAATTTACATGCACGTGTATATATCTCGTATTTTTTTAAAATTTTATGTGATTCTGAGGTTTTTTTTTTATTATTAATTTCCATTAGAGTCCATTATTATTTTACATACAGCAAAATTATTTTTTCCCGATATATCGTTATTAAAATTTACATTTTATGTTAATATATGTCAAAACAAAATTGCAAACTATTTCCATACAAGCTGGTTGAACATTTTTGTTCCCCTAAATCGGACAAATTTCATATCTTTCCGCGCGTTGCAACGCAATAATAATGGTAGACATTCGCACGCATATATATAGAGAAACGGCGTGGCCGTTATTTACATATTTTCCAACCCTTTCGCACACATCCACCCACAAACAGAGGTGGCGGCGGCGGCAACAGACACGAGCAAGGAAGCGCGATGCGCATGCGCAAACTTCTTCCACAGGTCCATGACGTGCGGCGCATGATTCGCCGGTTTCGGAGCGTATATAGCAGGGCCGAAATAAGATAATTTGCCGGGCGCCGGCAAAATTTCTGAATCGATCTCCTATTTAGCCGAATACGCAGTGAACTCACGTGCCGCGCCTTTCCTTGCGATCAATGATTATAGCTTTACCTGTCCGCCGAGGCATTTACGAAATAATTTATGTGAGCAGCATAATCGATGTGTAACACTCGTTACTAAGCACGTTCCTTCTCCCGCGACTTTTTCTTTTTTTTTTCTTTCTGTCTTTACGATATCTGTATGTATACTTGACTCATTTCGGATGGGAATGTGCAAACGGGATGTATAGAGAAAGAAAGAAATTCTATAATGTAATGTCGAGATAATGTCTTAAGGATGTATGTGTCATATCCCATACAGCATAGAATGTTGTAACAACATCGCAACATTGCGGCAATGTTGCAAATGTTGCTGCAATATTCTGTACTGTATGGGATGTCAAAACATTGATAAAAGCATGGAAATTTCGTAGACTGTTCTACTATATTTCTTCTGAGTATTTGTGCAAAACCTGAGCACAATTCTCTTAAGGGGCTGGAAATTATTTAAGTGTAAAGTCAGTAATTGGTTCTTATGGAAAATCGCGTATTGTTGCATTTATTGACAAATTTGACAAGGAAAAAACGTTGCCAACGAAATAAAAATTTTTATATATATATTAAGAAAACTCTAATAAATATTTGTGCAAAACTTGATTTAATTTTGACAAATTTTTTGCTGCTATTGTACAGCCAAAACATCCTTAATATCCCCAGACAGCACAAAACGTCCTCAGGATCATCCTGAATATGTAGATGCCCTTTGGACGTCCTAAGAACATCCTTGTGCTATCTGGGTCTGTTTCTACGTGAATGTTGTTTATTTTCGTTGGATACACTCACACGATGAGATACTAAATTTCTTTGTACGATCGATCGGAACCGTTCTACGACGCGAAAGTTACGTTGTCACGAGGATTATTAATATTTATGTATCGCGAAATCAATGTGTGTCCATTCGATCTAATCAATTTATGAATGCCGACCCGGTTTGATAGCGGATAAACCAGACACGCGGACAAGTGGGCGAGTCACGCGACATTCGGACCCCGGCATTTGGACGTCCTCGGTGCATTCCTGAGATGTGTGTCCGAAAAGCATCTCTCGCCCTACCATCGCGACCGATCGCCGCACATTCGACCAATGTGGAAAGATCATACGACAAACCCGCGCGTGTGCAGTAGCGCTTAAGTAGCGTATATACTTCACCGTAATAAGAGTATCGTTGTACCTTTTGCGGCAAAAGAAAATCTAGAAAATGTTGAAAGAAGCAAAATTAATGTAAACACATTGTTTACTTATTTTCCTTCCAAAAACGTTATACAAATCATAATTTCTTTTCTACATAATTTTTAAAAGAAATTACTCGGAACGTTTGTACATGCCCTTACGTCTTTATATATATTTATATATTTTTAATCAATGCAAATAGTAGAAACAAATTTTCAAAAAGGTAACTTCTTATTTTTGAAAAACTTATGTATCAAATTAATACTTATAATATACTATTTAAGATATTTTATATATCATTATATATATAGGGAGCTTTCCAGCAAAAAAACACAGATGGACACAATGTCACGCAATTGGCTATTAAATAGAGAATCAAAAAAAAAAAGCCTAAAATTTTTCTATTTGACAGCTAATCATATGATTTTGTATTTATGTTTGTTGGAAAGCTCCCATAAATATTAAAACAATAGCGATAAAACAAATTTATATAGATTGGCAAAAACCTCCTACATGACATCTAAGCACGAGTCTGCGAAAATCGGTCACGTGGGGGCGATGACGTCACTGGCGCATGCGCGGAAACGTCCCGCCGGTGGGATTTGTCCCACGATCGTTCTACACTGCACTCAACAGATCGAGGTGTGGCCATCGAGGGCAGCCATTTTCTTGACTTTCTGTCGCTTAAGATTTCAGGTAAATACGCAATTATATTTTAAGTTAGCGCCGGCCGGAGTGGTGCGAGGGTGCGTGGTGCGCTGTACGTGCGGTCGTCGCGAGAGTGCCCGGGCACGTAGAGATCCCGCCGGGACATCGGGCCGGGTATACGGTGCTAAAAGAGGGAAAAAAGGAGCCTGCTCCTCCTCCGCGAGCCGAGGGAGTGAGGGAGAGAGAAAGAGAGAGAGAGAGAAAGTGTATGTGTGCGTGCGTGTGTGTGAGGCGGGGAGATAGGTAGCGAAGGAGAGCGAGAACGGATCGCGCGAGGAGACTCCGAGGGAGTGTCGTGCGTCGCGAATCTCGTCCGCTCGGCATCACCGCGCTGCTCTGAAGGCTCGGACGGTTATCTCGTATCCGCGTCGTTCGTGCGCATTCTACTCGTGCTAGATCTACGTCCACGTCGTCGTCCTCTTCGTTGTCTTCGACGCCGCTGTCGCGAAGCTGAGCAATCCGCACGACGGATCTTTTGGAATGCTTTCGGGCTCTACCTGACACTACGTGGCCGTTTAGTTCAGTAAGTAAAGTCTCTCTCTTTCTGTCTGTCTCTCTCTCTCTCTCTCATATCAGACACACACAGGCATATCTCTCCGCTCTCGTGACGATTCCCTTGCGTACCTCTGTGTTACGCACCACGCACTTCTCACGCCGCTTCTTCCTTACCCCCTTTCTTTCCCATTCGACAAGTCTACCTTTTTCGGCCGCGATAAACGTTACATTCCCCCGCATTCGTTATATGTTATATTCGGACGATGGTGGAGGAAAGAAAGGGGAAGGAGAAAAAAAAAAAAAATGGAAGTGCGGTTAAAAGGAATTAATTTCATCGTTCTCGTCTCGCTTCACAAAAGCACGGGTGGGGGCTTGCATTTTTGATGCGGAATTTTGCGGAAAAAAAAAAGCCGCGCGGCCACCCTCGCGCCACTTCTCGCGTCATTCCCGAAATTGCGGCGGATCCATGATCGATGAAATAGCTCGGCTCTCTCTCTCTCTCTCTCTCGTGACAGCGCTCGTTCCGAGGAGCCGGATGTCGCCTCGACGACGTTTACCCCCGCTCCCCTCCCTCCCTTCCGCCCTCCTCCCGCCCTGCGTAAACAAATTCTGGAATACGTGCGCGCTTTTGACGTGTGTGACGCGATTATGCGACGTGCCCAGCATCGCCGGGAGCGGCGCCGACCTCGGGTCCGTCTCCTTTCAGCTGCATCACTGTTCCACTTTCTACACCTGAAATATCACGGGATTGAGAATTTGAGCGGATTAAATTTGACGAGATCGATATTCATACGAGGCGGAGAGAAAAATGAAAAAGATTAGAGGAAAATATAACACTTGCAACTAAGAAGAAAAAAAAAAGAAAAAAAGAATACATATACTTCCAACATTACGTTATCAACGATGATTCTGACGTTTATTATTTTCAGTTACACTATCTACACTTTGTATCTTTCTCTTTTTATTTTTTTTTTGTTTTTCTTTTATTTATTTTTTTTATTTTTTTTGCGAAGCTTGAATGTGTGCACATGTAGCATTTTAAATGCGAAAAGAATGGAACCTTCGAATATCTGCGATGTCGATAGCGTCTCTCGAGAATTCACGTCATCGTTAGCGTCTCCTGAGCACTCGCGTCATCGATGGCGTCCTGGGTATCCGCCACGCACTCTCTCCCTCTCTCTCTCTATCTCTTTCTCTCTCTTTTTCACGCTCCCCGACCTTGGCCGATGCGCACTATCTTCGTCGTGAAGGAAGGCATAGGTTAGTTTAGCCGAGACGTACTCTCGTCTGTTCGTTTTAGTCGCACTCTCTAAACCTTGTTTCTTTCTTCTCGCCCCCTTTTTAAAAACGAAGTAAACATTTTAAATGCAGAAAGCGTAAAAAAGAATGTAGAGTGTAAGACTCCCAAGTCTTTTCTTTTTAATTCTACATACAATTTTCCACAAGTTTTCTCTCTTTTACATTTTCTTCTTTGACCAAAATATCTTGTTGTTCATTCAAGTGCGACTAAAAAGAACATATCTTCTAGTTGACATTTCTATCATCGTAGAAAACGCTCATCGACCGGGTTAGGAGTTATCAGAGGTGACTGCATGTCTTCTGCCATCGATCGATGTGTTCATTATCTTCGGGAATTCTATATTTAACGGAAGATACACAATAGGGAATTAATTTACCTCGATGTACAATTTTTTTATTCTCTCGATATCTATTCTGTATTTGTTTTCTTTTTCCCCAATAAATTGTAAATAGGGTTCAAATATATATATATATATATAAATCGTAAAACAAAAGACTCGTTCCTGCGTGTCACGGATTCGCGATATCGACGTGGACATTGTCGTCTGTTGCTCGAATATTTTGGCCAGTTTTGTTTGTAAGACTTCTGTGTATTGGAGCAGGAATAATACTTGGTCTTTGTGTTATTACGAAAGGATTGTCTATGGCAATTATTGTGTACTTTACAGATGATATTCCATATCGATGCTTTTTTATCTGTATGCGACTTTGCTGAATATCATTACAATCTATTGTAATGAGCCATTGTTGGGAGTGGGATGTGTAAAGGGATGAATTTTCGCATCAGAAGCTTTTTCTTTCGTTGCTGTCATAAATCGTAAAACAAAAGACTCGTTCCTGCGTGTCACGGATTCGCGATATCGACGTGGACATTGTCGTCTGTTGCTCGAATATTTTGGCCAGTTTTGTTTGTAAGACTTCTGTGTATTGGAGCAGGAATAATACTTGGTCTTTGTGTTATTACGAAAGGATTGTCTATGGCAATTATTGTGTACTTTACAGATGATATTCCATATCGATGCTTTTTTATCTGTATGCGACTTTGCTGAATATCATTACAATCTATTGTAATGAGCCATTGTTGGGAGTGGGATGTGTAAAGGGATGAATTTTCGCATCAGAAGCTTTTTCTTTCGTTGCTGTCAATTTATGTAGTACTTTCTTCTCGATTCTAGAATCAATGAGATCACTCTTTTCTGCTGTGGGCAACTGTATTTCAAATTGTTATAATCATTTAAAGCCATATTAGAATAGCCTCTGAACTTCTGTACAACATATTCTTGTGTCTGTACAGCTTGTATCACATTTGGATTTATGCTTTGTCAGATGGTTCTTCTAATGTGGATACATAGTGTTTGATATTGCATGTCTAACAAATAATATATCGGGCTTTTGTTTCTTTTCTCTTTTTTTTTCTGCATGTGATCTCGACAGATTATTATTTTATCCTAATGCATAAGGTAAAGTCTTTGATATATAAGTTGAAGGAACTTTTTGTTAGATGTAGCACTTATATAAATGCGATCCAAATGTAAGTGTAATTTTATATATTAGTCCATTTGGTATGTGATAACTGTTTTTATGGATATGATAAAATATTAAAAAGACCCTACCTTATGTAGCCACACAAATTCCATATATCTTGATTTAGATATGTACATAAGGTCATCGAATGCGATGAGAATCATTATATTTAATCATTGACAATCCTGTTGAAAAAAGTAGTATATATATTTTTTTATGTTAAAAGGAAAGAGTTAAGAAATGGAAAATATTGCAAAAATTTTATATAATGAAAGAGGTATTTTCAAGCTTTAATTATATATTTATACATACTTTTAGTATATATTATAAAATAGATAACATATATATGTATATATATATATGTGCGTGTGTGTGTATATATATATATATATGTGTATATGTATATATTGATATTTGTTGTGTGGTATATTGCATTCATCTCGCAGCTTCCTACCTACATCTAACATATAAAATGTCCACTTAAAACAGAGACGCTGAAAGAAAGACTAAAAACATGGGATGCAATGCGGGCCGATGCCTCGGTCCAGACGATACGGGGTACCCTGGATCAGGTACGACCCAGTCAATATCCTTTAAAACTTCAGCCCTCGTAGGTCCTGCTTTTTTATAGACCGAGTAGATCACAGGATTTATATGACACTCGCTTTACGAGAGTAGCTTTGGAATTATAGAAATAAATTAGAGTATGATAAATCGAAGTAGCCAAAGGGGACACTGTACTTTATTCTGTGCAGGGAAAAGGAATATTTCATATACTGTGAGAGATTAATTCGAAGTAAATAGGCTACAAAAAAGCTCTTTTTGAAAAAAGAAATTAAAAGAATTGAACTATATAGCCTACGAGGTTTGAACATAAGAAACTATTTATATTGCGCTCTCCCAAAAAGGAGAGATGTATATAACACATGACTTACACGGTCTCTCTCTTTCTCGAAGGTTTACCCTGATTTCTTCTTCCTAACTCTGTCCTGATGAAGAACGCTTCTTAGCCTCATCCGTCACTTCTTTCGTATATTTGTATCATACACGCTTTTGTGAATCTGTTGAACTAAAAAAAAAAAAGTTTGCCCTGCTCTCCACTCAATTATAATTTACCGATGCTGCAAGAGAAGCAAGTTTAGTACTGATGTCAATACTAACTCTTCGATTTTTTCCAGCTATCTTTTGCGTTCCCGACGTATTTCATTACGTTTTATAATATAAATCATTGTATATGTCGCAGACTTATCACACCGCATGCTTTTAGTTTGAATAATTTGGTAGTGTTCTTCGTGCACAATGTCGCATTGACTGAAATTCTTTATCGATATCAATTTAGTGTTACTTTTTAGGTGATAAGATATTCTAAGCTATATATCTATGTATATATATATGCTGACATTTAAAATACACGTTCTGAAAGATTAGAATTTATATAGAATTGCAATAGAATTTGCAATAGAATTCATCTTCTGTATCTATAATAGCATAAGACTTTTATTGTAGATAACATTAGTAAGAACATTAGAGATTACATCTCTTATGTAGGAGGAAAATATATTGTACAGTATATAGTATGTGTGTGTACTTTGTATAAATGAGTCACGATTAGTGAGAAACGCGATAAAAGCACGGCTACCGGATATTATCGCCTTAAACATTGTGGTACAATGTGATAGCAAAATTAATTATATATAAAAAAAGAATTTATATGACTAACTCTCTCCGTGTAAAGTAGGTAAGTTAGCTTGGTGGAGAAAATGTTTATTTTTTGGAAATTATATAAATTGCATTATCTCTCTCGAAACTTTTAGATAAAATAAATTGATAAATCGAAAACACAAAGTATGCCTGTTTGAGAGAAAGCTATATATTTGATCAAAATTTTATATATGATACGATAAAAAGAATTGAAAAATTTAGCACATTGACTTGATTGCAATTGTGAAATGCATCACTAACTTATAACAAATGTAAAACACATTCTGCTTTTCATATTAATTAATCAATCGTATTTACATACATCTTGAAAGCAATAAATGTTTTAAACAAGCAAACAGTGCCGATTGTACATCAGCTCACTAATTTACTTATCAATTATTTTAGGAATAACGTGTACTCTTTTGAATTTTAGGATTCATGGCAGCCATCAGGAAGAAATTGGTTATCGTGGGTGACGGTGCTTGCGGAAAAACATGTCTTCTCATAGTATTCAGCAAAGACCAATTCCCTGAAGTATATGTACCCACGGTATTCGAGAATTATGTTGCCGACATCGAAGTGGATGGTAAACAGGTGCATGTTTTCTTCAAATTTTTCTTATTCTTTTTGTTGAGAGATTTTTTTTTACCCTTTAACAAACGACGATGTTTATTTTGTGAACAGGTGGAACTGGCTCTTTGGGACACAGCTGGACAAGAAGATTATGATAGGTTGCGTCCGTTATCGTATCCGGACACGGACGTCATCCTAATGTGCTTCTCCATCGACAGTCCCGATTCCCTGGAGAACATTCCCGAGAAGTGGACACCAGAAGTAAAGCACTTCTGTCCGAATGTGCCCATTATCCTTGTGGGTAATAAAAAAGACTTGCGTAATGATCCTAATACCATCAAGGAATTGAGTAAAATGAAACAAGAACCTGTTAAGCCCGAGGAAGGTAGAGCCATGGCGGAAAAGATCAACGCTTTCGCCTACCTTGAATGTTCTGCTAAAAGCAAGGAAGGTGTAAGGGAAGTCTTTGAAACGGCAACCCGAGCTGCGTTACAAGTATGTCTTAATTAATAATATAATGTGTTATTCTTGTAACAATAATTCTTAAAGAATAGTAATCGTTAAATTCAATTATGCGAGTTAACATGAGACAAACGTTCATTGCGAGAAAAAAAATATTAAGTAAAATACTTCTTCTAATAATGATTACTTGCTATTCTTGGATTAACGCATTATACTAACGTGAATGTTGTAAAATTTCAGGTAAAGAAGAAGAAGAAGGGCAGATGTAGGCTCCTTTAAGATGTTTATCCCAAGTAAACCCGATGTAACACGGGCGAAATAATGGAATTGCGGAACTAGCTGTAACAAAGCTAGTCGTAATGCCGCAGATCCCGCGGAAACCATCTTTAATTATTTTACATAATAAAATATACACCAATAAAAAAATGAAAAAAGATAAGGTGCAACCGCGTCAAACCAGAACATTATTATTAATATTATTAATATTATAATTATTATTATATGCATTCTACATTGTTTTTTTTGTTTTTTTTTTTTTTTTTTTCGAGAAAACATACATCTTACATCCTATTTGTACCCGTCAGAAATGCTTAACTTTTTTTTTCATTATCTCTACTATCGATTCTTTATGTATATATTACATATACAGGAGCTGTTTTTATTTATCTTGACCATCTGGCACCCTCATTGCTTTTAACACGGTGCGAAAATTTTTTCGCACCATTTACAGAAAAGCAACAGATGTACTCCAAGCGTTCGAGATAAATAAAATTCTGTATATTGTTACATAATTTTTTTTTTTTTATCGTAGTGGCTCTTTATTTTGGTAATAAACAAAATGAAAGAAAAATTGATCGAGTTGAGAAAAAATATAGATAAGAAACGAAGAATATAAAACAGTGTAACACGCGAAACGCAGTTAAAGAACAATGTAGGAATCTAAAAAGGCGATTTGAGAGAATTCCGAATTTTTTTGCATCAAAGTTTTATTAAAATCGTCGCGTTATTGGCTCGTGAATGAAAAAAAAAAAAAAAGAAAAGTAATGGACATTTATTACATTATAAACGCGCATAGGTAGACCAGAGCAGAACACTTTACCCTTTAAGATACCAATTAGATTAAATGTGTGTATTATTATATATTTTATTATTATTACCTTTGAGTTATATTGTATCACAGTGACACACTAACACAACGGATTATAACAGCGGCTATATAATATATTTATGTATTTCGAGGGACGCGTTTTCTTTGTGTCTGACCACGCCGTAACTGGACTTGCGGCTTGCGCATTTTTTTATACACATGTATACGCCATTGATATCTTAAGCGTATAATGTACTCTTAATCAAAGATTATCGGTCGTACATGATTATCTCGCAACGATATGTCCCGAATTGATTTTACCATGTGTGCCACGATTATATTGAGTCAAGCTTACCTCGCGAAATTCACACAGATTTCCGACCTTGTTGTTTTCGCCACAAGTTCTTCCTGTTTCGCTTGTGCTACTCTTTACGTCGAAGTCATAGATGTCTATACTAAACTAGATTGCTAACTTGTAACAATAACAATGGCATGGCTTGCGTCCGATAGGATTTCCGATGTATGAGAAAAAATGGCCGCCGCCGAAAGAAAGAGAAAGAAAGATTTTCTTAAAACTGACACGAATGATTCGCTTCACACACACACAGGATCATGTCAAGTCCGTGCACAGGACCGCCGCCATTTTTTCTCATACAACCGGAAATCTCATGCGACACAAGTCCGAAGTCCCAGTTAGCAATCTAGTTTAGTATAGACATCTGTGGTCGAAGTGAAAAAAAAGATTGATGTGTTATTCGTCCTCTTGTGTAGAGATCCGTTTAATCTGTGTAAGATTCATAATAAAAATTGTGTTACAAAGACGTGGTGTTGAATTAACGGCCGCGTAACGCGAAGCTTCTCTCGGCCGTTAATTCAACGTTACTTGACTGCGGAATTGTGTTCACTAAGTTCTCTCTTTGTTTCTCTCGAACGCGCGTTTAGCGGTAGTATAGAGATCTTGTTATATTACACGCAATACGCTTTTAACTGGAACTTTTCAAAATCGCGTAATGGAAAAAGAAAAAAAAGAAGCTTAGCGACAAAAACTTAAGATACTTCTGCCACGAGCGAACGCGCGCATGACGGATTCGTGGAAAGCAAAGAGAAAAGGAAAGACGGCAAGAAGAGAGAAAGGGAGATGTATATTAAGCAATTAAGCGTGCCTGTGAATTAATGAGTGCTTTGGGAAACACTCGGATATACGCTCTCCACTTCTCTGTGCAAATTCGCGCGTCGCTGTGAGGCTCGAAAGTGTTCTTTTTATAATGAGTTTCGTGGATATATACCGCGCGTTATATATATAAATATATATATACATACATTACTTATATAATTGTATCAATTATGCACCCGAGATATTGTATATACTTATGATATAAACTCTTTACCGTTCTCTCATAATAGACACACGCGCGTCGATCGAGATTCGAATACCATTTTTCCAGAGCATATAATATATAATAATAATAATAT